AGGACAAATTAAAAGTGTAAATCTTCTCTCCTTTTTGTACTTACTAGCTGCCTTTATTTATTTTCTTGCCTCCCCCCTTCTTCATTAAATGTGTTTTGCACAATAGGTTTACAAATCTTACACATCTTAACTGACGGAAGACTGCTGACTAACCCTTGTCGATTTGTGGTCTTGTGACTGATTGTCTTCTCTGCCTTTCCTCAAGGATTTTCCTTCTTTTTCCCCCAGTGACCATTATGCTCCTTAGGTTCTGTTGGTGTGTTCCTGTATCCTGTTAAACCTAGATATGCCTCCTAAGAACAGCCTCCCTGCTCTCTTTATTAAGAGCTTCCCACCCAGAGTCTTAACTCCAGGACAGGCCAGAAAGCTGCTGAGGTGTGAGTTGGTCTTCAGTTTCATCTGCTCGACTCCCAGCTCCAAGTATCAGTTGCTGTGGCAGTCAGTGAGCTCCGGCCCGTCAGAGGGACTTGGGAGAGCCATTATTTTGTCTCCATTGATAGTTAACAAGAGGTGCCTTCAGCTTCCGGATGTTACTATCTCATTTGGTCAAAGCTCTGATACATTGTTGGACAGAACTGCTGTTGTGAATCCTAATGTGGTTGCGATTGAGCCTGTGGACGAAACATTACCTGATGTGAAGGTTTGGTATTCTAGATTGAGATGTCAGACTTTGTGCTGCCATCCTCGGGGATGTGAGGAGTTTGTTATTCTTCTTTACAGATGGCTCTAGACACATTTGGGGAGGCTTTGCAGTCCGGCATTCATGCTATTGGCCACCCTCCGTGAAGGCTGGACACACGGTTGCTGTAGCGCCGCCGGTGGTACTGCCTAGCTGCCTCTTGTCTGGTTTTGTTTTCATCAGCTCCACCTTTGTATGTGAGAAACCCATCTTAAACACCCTACCCTGCTTTAGAAACTGACTTGGGAAAGGTTTGGTCATTCACACCGTGGATCATCTTAGATGGATATCCTTAAGTGTTTACTGTTTTTGTGTAGGTGAGGATTCTCTTCCTTGAACATTTGGTTTAAAATCTGGGACCAAATGCAAAGAAGTTCTGTTCAAAGGCAAGAGTCAAAATCTGTGATTTCAGTTGGCATAATGGACGTTTACTGCATTAGTTCTCCAGGTTTCCCTCAGTTAGCATGATGGAGTAAGATAAGCAGACATCTACCTTTGGAACCATAGCATAATAAAAATTAGTTGTAGCTGGAATAACTAGTGTTGTAGCTGTCTAGTTCCCCCACAGAGTGGAGAACCCAAGGAGCGAAAGGATAGCATTTTGCTTAAGCTCCTGTTCCTGCATTCCTGGTAAAGGAGGGTTTAAGTCTGAATGTGTAATGGCAGCATTGCCTTTGCCAAATGAGTGACGGGTTAACTAGAAAATGTGACAATCACATTTCCTCTTTGCTCAAATAATTCTGTTTTTCCAAAGTGTTAGCAGCTTAATTAAATCTGTTGGACTGGGGGAGGAGAGAACTGTTCTCTAGCGGTTAACATGGTATTCTTTAAGAAGGAAAAAAAAAGCCAAAGAAAACTCAGTATTAGGCATGTTTGCCTTGAAGATGGTAGTAGGTAAAATCTGGAGTTTTAATCTGTTTTTAAAGGTTCCTATCTCATACTTGATGTTGGGTTCTCAGTCTAGTAGGTCATGAGTTCTTGCTGTATTTTATTTGAGTAAGGGTTACGTGCACTTAACTGTCTACCAAACTTTTTTTGTTCATGAGGTTCATGACGACACTCACCACAGAGGTCTTGACAAAGAGTTAAAACATGCTGTTTATGCAGTTTATTCATAAGAGCCTGCAGTAAGCTTGTGCAGGCTTAAGGGACTGGAGTTGTGAGGATCAATTACAAAACTAAAGTTTGGTGCCTCCTCTTTATCATGTTTTTTCCCTTGTAGCAGTTGTGTTTAATGTGTCATTAAAGAGAAATAAAAGTTCTTATCGTGGCATATGTACTGTGGCTGTCTGTTGCAGGCTTTGAAGGCGGTTTCCTTCCTCTTCTGCGTAGGCAGGTTAGTGGGGTCTGGTTGGGGGTGGCAGTTAGTAGAATGTGGTACTGGGGAGGCGAGGGTGTGTGCTCCCTGTTCTTTTGAGGGTAAATTACAGTGTTAAGAAAGGCCTTCCAGCAGTTTAAAAATGTTGAAATTGATTGGGATTTGCAGCTACATACAGTGCATGTCAGGAGCCTGACACAGGGGATGCCTGAAATACCAGGGCGCTGCTGTTTCTGCAGCAGGCGGAGACGGCCCAGCCCCATCAGACAAACACTGCCTTCCATTCCTTCCCATGGCGGTGCGATGGACCTCTGTCTGCCTCGCTCAAGCTTTACCCCAGGGCATTCCCCCTTTGAAAGGGATATGGGACCCACCACTGGTCATACAGAATTGATGGTGGTTCTTAATCCAACTTCTCCAGAAACTAACTGCTCCTGGGAGCTAGGTTGAAGGTGGAGTAAGTGTGGGTAGATGTGGGGGACGTGACGTTCCTTAGATCCCTTTTGTGAACCTGAGCTTAGACTGACCCCAGGAGACAGGGTGAAGGCAATAAAATCTTGTCACCTGTATTAGCCAATGCTTTTAAAATCTCCACTCATGCTGAGAAAATAAGTAGCAACATGTTTGGACATGTCTTGCTGTGAGGTAACTTTTGTCTAATGGATATTCTACAGTCCAGGCAAAAGCTTCAATACAGATTCGCTAAATACTCAGCTGTTTGATGCTGTCTCATTCAGAGGTACTCTGGACCTGTACATACCATTTTGTTTCTGTCCGGTAGAAAGCCTTTTGTCTGGTAGTTGCTTATTTCCTTTTCAGCAAGGTGTTACTGCGGCCATCAGAGGTGTCAGAGACCAGGCTGCATTCTCCGGAGTGGTGGTCTTCCTCACCCTTAGTTCGTTTTATGTTATGGAAAGTGAGGAGGAGAAATGGACCTCCTCTCAAAAGAATGGGTTCATTTTCTAGCCTGTTTTGAGCTTTTACAGGAAGAAGAAAACAACCCCAGCCACCTAAAACTAGAAAGCAGGGATCCCTGCTTTACTTTGTGTTGTCCTACTTTTCTAAGGGAAAACAGTTATTCCTGCGCTGGTTCTGGGGTATGCTTGCTTGCTTCATATGTCAGAGCACCTGTCAGGAAAAAAAATTTCCACTTGTCACAGGAAGTATCAGCTAGCTGGTCAGTGGTGGAATTCCTTAATGAACAAGTGCCTGCCGTGTCAATCCTCTCCACCTGTCCTCCCCCAGTGACAACTGGAACATGCCACAGACAGAAGATCTGAGCCTCCCCAGCACCCTCTGAAAAGGGGGTGGAATGTCATCTTTTGGACAACCTGTAAAACACTCCATGTGGTAGTCCTGAATCAGCGTTATCATTAAGGAACTATTCGTATATGAGGATCTCCTTTGACTTAGCTTCAAGTTGGGGGTTAGGGAATATAGTGCTGACGGAGTTTGGTGGAGTTTGACTGGAGCCAGGGGGGTGTGTCCCATTTATGGAAGCAGTTCATTCTTGGAGGCCACTTAAAAGCAAAATCCAAAAACTCAAATAGGTTTAAAGAGGGTGAGAAGGAACACGGCAGTCTAAAATGTCACATGACTGCAGTGGTATGATAGGACGTATTTTTGTAAAGAGCTGAATTCGAGATCTTAAAAGTGGATTCCAGATGCCACCCTGAAAAGCCTGGGTTGAATGGACAGGATCAGAAAGAGGAAAGGACTCCTGCCACACGGAAACACCACCCTTTTTCCTCTACCAGACCCTGGGGCTTCCCTCTTGTTCCTAGGAGGAAGCCCCCTGGCTCCTACTCCAGGTGGTAGGTGGGCTCTGGGATCCTGTTCTTCACAAGGAGCACCCCCCAAAGAAGAGCTGGCCCGAGGGGTCACTCGGTGACAAGGCAGGCCTTGCCTCTCGTCTGGCCATGCGTGACCTGCAGGTCAGGCCTCTCTGTCTCCAAGTACTTGCCTACACCCATCCCAAGCTGTGAGGAATCTGCGGGTCTAGGTGGTGAATAGGGGCCCCCGTTCCAAGTCCTAGCTGTAGGGTTCTCTGCATGACAGCTGGTCCAAGAAAAGCTCCATTGTGGAACTTGGGGTTTAGGGAGGTAAACACAGTGAATGGGGTTTATCTAAACCAGAAGTGTTCACTCCTCTCCCATCTCCCTCAGGCCCTCAGCGGAGGTGCTAGAGGCCCTGGTAAATCCCTGGCCCCCCACAGCTGTCTCTGGACCTGGCGTGGACTTAGGGGCTTCTCTGTCACATGACACTAGACAGGCACACATGACAGAGGGCCTGGCCAAGTACCTTTCTCGGGTGTGGTTTAGAATTGTGGGTGCCAATAGATTTCTCCTTTCCCACCCAGCCTTTAAGACTTGGCTTTCCTCCTCTTGGAACCTTCCAGAAGAGTCCACCCTAAGTCCCCCTCACCTGACCTCTTCTCTCCAGCTCTTGCTGGCTCTGGACAGGAGTGTTCGAGGTGTCACATTTACTCGTTTGCTCATTGGCTAATGACATCATCACTCCACCTTTCAGCCTGCTGTTGGGATCCGAATGATGTTCCTTTAACCGCCCCAAACAGCATGCTGGGACTACTGAGCTGCCGCCAACAGCTTCTGCAGATCTCTTCCCTTCCTTCCTCACCCTGGGGAGAAACCAGAACTGCATTCCTTTGGTCAGGGAAAACACCCAGCCCCACCCAGAGGGGAAAACCCTTCGTTCTAAAAAAACTGAGCACCAGCCTGTGTACCTGTGCGGAGAGGCAGCCTGAGCTTGGATTTGGGGGCCTTGGTAATAGGACGATGGAGGAGCTATTTTCTCCTCCTACACGTGCACCCCCATCTGTTAGAGATTTCCCTTCCAGCTCCAGCTTGGCTGGCAGGCATGTCCCTAAGAAGCTGCAGGCCAAAATGGAGAGAGAACTGACGTCCCTCCTCCACACATCCTGACTGGCTGCCAATTGCCAGAAAAAGAGGGCAGCATTTGGGCATTTACCAGAAGACAAGGATGTGCCTTTTCATTTGTCTTTTATTTTACATTTAAAAAGAGGTTATTGCTCTAACTGGATCAGAGGTAAGGACCTCTCCACTAAGGAGCCTTGGCCTTGCAGCCCCATTCAGCAGGGATGGAAGTCACAAGACAATGAGTGGAGCCTCATGCCCTTCCATGAGGAAGCCCTTAGTATTGCTGACATCTGCCTTTTATCCTGTCTCTCCTCCCTCCCTGTGCTGCCACGTCGGGGCCAAGTAGAGTGGTGGCTGACCTAGCCAGGAGAGCTCTTGTAGACCGGAAGGAAGGGGCGGTCATTGGGTGATGGCTCTCAGCTCTCTGGCTGGGGGGCCACTGCTCTTAACGTTCAGTTCAACAGGTATTCACTGAGCGCCTACTGGGTGCCAGGCTTGTGCTAGGCGCAGTCCTCCCACACGCCTGTCCTTAGCCACCAACGGAAGACACAGAGGTCCAGCTCTTCCCATGCAGGCATTCAGCAGTCATCACTTGTCAGTCCGAGGGAAGAGTCTGCCTTCCCTTAGCAAGCACCATTTTGTTTTGTTTTGTTTTGTTTACCAGAAAGGGGCAGTGGAGAGAGAGACCTGATACCTCACACCACTCAGGCTCTAGGGAAGGACATGAGGACCCTGGGTACCTTTCCCAGAACCCTGGATGAGATGGCAAGATATGGAGACCCCAGAGGCCAGGGCTGCTCTGATTTCCTCGGTAATGGCTCAGGCCTGCCTTCCAGCACCTTCCACTCCAGAGCAGGCGACTCACTAGCCCCCAGGATGTCCCATGTGGACATACCTTTTCAGCTGCATAACCCAGCATTGTTCCAACTCCAAGAGACTCATCCTAAAGAAATGGGGCCAGTACCTCCCAGGTCTCTTTCCCACTTTGTCTTCTTAAAGGCTCCAGACTAATGATATTACAGTCGAATAAGGGCCAAAGAAGATGGAGGCTGTAGGCAATCAGCTTGGAGCATTCCTTTGCCCCCTGGAGTGAAGCCCTTCAGTCATGTTTTCCAAAAGAGACAAAACAGAACATCTCACACACTCGCCGAGTTGTGCATCACACCACAAACAAGTCCGTGATGGCTGGATCCAGAAAAAGCTTGCTGGCAGCCATGACCCTGCCCCATGGCTTCTGCGATGGCTCTCGGTCTGAAAGACACAGCTGGAGTCAGTCTAGGTGTCATCTCCCAGGAGCTTTGTGCATTTTCTTGAAGAGGAAGCCAGTCCAGGAGAGGCGAGGAGGCAGAAAGAAGGCTGTGTCTCATGCAGCTTTGCCTTTTCCAGAATGGGGCCAGGCCTTTTAGTTTTGTGGCTTATTTTTTGCAGAATTTGGGTTTGTAGTTCAGCCTCCTTCACCAGACTAGGATGGGGAAGAGGGAGAACAGTGCAGCTAGCTGGGCCTCCCCCCACCGCAGTCCTCCCTGTCCCTGTGCCCATGGACCTGGAGACCAGCAGAGAAGAAAAATGAAATCCTTCTCCCTGCAGACAGGCAGTCATGCTTCGATGATGTTCACTGAGGGCTTGTTGGGAAACTGGGAGGAAGAAAATGAGAGAAGCAGCCAGGGCTAATCGAATAGACTTCTTGCAAAGTTGGAAGTTAGGGGAGGACACAAGAAGGAAGGGCTGCCACCTAAAAGCCAGGCTTTCGTCCCGCGTGGAAGGAATGGAGTAGCCCTGTCTGCGTGTCTCGTCTCTCTGCCTTCTCAAACCCAGCCTTCGGCCTCACTCAGCGGCCAAGACTGGGTGTCAGGCCCTCGACTCCCCTGGCCCCCGGTTCCACCCCCAGCAGAGCCATCCCGCCGGCTGGTTCTCTCCCATCCTGCAGACCTGCCTCTGAGCGCGGCCTCGGCCCCTGTCACTGCGACGTGCTTCTGGAGATGGGGGTTACTAAGAGGCTTCAGGAAAATGCGCCAGAAAGAGAGAAGCCAAGAGAGAGGACAGTAAGCCAGGGGGTGTGAGGAGATGGAAGGAGGAGGAAATGTGGAGAGGGCCAGATGTTTGTTTGTTGGGTAATCATCGTCAGAACCATGAGATCCTCCCACTTTTCTAGCGTTTCTTCTGAGCTGCTCAGAGCAAGCACTGACAAGGTTTTCATATCTGTTTTGCAGAAGAGGAAATGAAAGTGAGGCACCTGCTCAAGGTCACGCAACACGGCAGGAGCAGAAATGAGCCCAGAACCCCCTATTCATGCTGTCCCACACCAACCAAGCATTCCACCCTTCCCGCTCACTGCATTTTGTTAACCACACTGGCCCTGGTACCCGGCAAAAGGAAAAGGTCCAAAATCCACGTGCGGTGTCCCTGGGTCACAGCGGCAGTGGCCGAGCTCGGCTCTGCTCAGCCGCAGCCGCGCCGGGTGCTGAGCTGTCCCCTGCTGCAACCCCGGGGCCGCCCACCCGGCTCAAGATCTGCCCTCACCTTGCTGCGGAGGAGACCTCCCCCTTGGTGCTCTGGTGTGCTGGTTTCTGACGTGCTCTTGGTTTTCTCCTTGTTGTTATTGGGTTCATTGTCCTTGATAATGTCATACTGGCGGCAGAAGAGGGCAATGACGCCTGGGGGATGATGGCGGGGTTGGGGTGGGGGGACAGGGAGAGCAGTGAGAGGCCAGAGCTCGAATCCCGGCCGCCTCCTTCATTCCCGCTGGCACCTTCTGAGCACCTGGTAGACACTGAGCTCCAGATGGCCTCTGTCCTGCACCGCTGCAACGGCCTGCCTCTGGCTCCTGTGTCCCCCTATTCCCCCAGCAGCCATTGCTTTCGCTGCTGCTGGGCTGAGCTTCCCACGACACGCATCTGATCCATCTCCCCCCTTTCCTTCGTTACACCCCTGACAGCTCTCCGTTCCAGTTAGCGAAACAGACACAGTATCGTGCGCTGAGCCGGGCACGGTCACGGCCGATGCTGCCGAGCCCAGGGAGCGCCAGGAGAGCACCTCTCGTTACCATCACCGGGCCACCAGTGAGGACACTGATGCAGAGAGCCCAGGAACCTACTTGAAGTCCTGCAGTGGGGGAGCCCGGATGTGCACTCCAGGGTCTGCGCTCTGCTAAATACTCACTGTTAGCAAGCTACTAACTCGGGAGCGTGATAAGTTCTTGAAAGTCAAATGCCATTAAGGAAGCCAGCGCCAGTGCCTCTAGGCGTCGTCTCCATTTTACCTCTGCTTTATGTACAGCGCTCTTTCCTGATCTACATGCTTTAGGTCCTATCTTTTGACTTTCCACCACGGTAGATACAGGCTAACATCTCCCTCAACTTCCTTTCCCGTCATCCTAACAGAAGCGTATCACAGTCTTGGGTTAGTCCACCATGTTTATATTGTTCCGATTGTATTAATACTGTGTATTTATAATGATATAGAATGATATAGAATGATATATCTTATTCTATATCATTATATCATTATATATTTATATAATGATATTATAAATTATAAATATTATATATTTATAATGATATAATGATAAGGCACCACAAACCTCTTTTGTACAATCCTTTGGTTTTTTTACCTTTTTTCTTTTTTTACAGGTGCCTGTTTTTTGATGTGCCTACAGAACGTTTTTTCCAAATGCTTCTACAATACAGGCTGTCCTTCAACTGCCATGCTAAGATTACAGCTTTGGCATGGTGTTCGAGTCTCTCAAAACGGACCCCAGCCAACTTTATAGACTCGCCATCCTTCATTGTCCCCTTTCTACTTTCTCTCAGTCCACAGCTACACTGAGTCAGACTGAACTGAATTTGTTTCTTATACACCCTGTCAAGAGAACCCTGTTCCTTTTTTTTGGCTGCCTGGTGAACTCCTATTCATCCTTCAAAGCTCAATCCCCATGTTTCCTCCTTTCTGTGTTTTTCCTAATTTCTACTGCTAGACCTAGAATTAATTCCCTCTCCTCTGCCCCCATACGTGGCCTCATCACACTGAATTATATAGTCAAGTAGGGACTTGGCTTCTCGCAGACCCAGTTCCTGCAAGCCCCGGGCTCTTCTTAGTCATGACTAGTACTAGTATCTGGAACGGAGTGGCCATTCAGAAAATGCTGGTTGAGTTAAGAACTGAGATGAAATGTGTTCTTTATCCTCGGGTAGCTCACAGACAAGTGGGAAAAGGGAGAGACATGAGCCCAATGACCTCATCTAAGAGGAGCTACAGGGAGAGACAAGCAGTGCCATGCTCACGGGTGTGTCCACCCCAGGAGCCCGAATTACTCCCGAGGGAGGGAAGGGCAAATGCTCAAATAACCTGTCCTCCAAGGCAGCTAGCTCTCAATCTGCTAAGTTTCTCGGGAGAGGTAAGCCAGCGAATGGGGCCCATCTGGTCCCCAGAGCAGGACTTCGAGACTCCTCCCATCGCATCTCAGCGGCCTCCGCTTCTGGGAGAGAAGGGGCCTGGCCTGGGACTTCCATTCTGCAGAGGCCAAGTGAGGCAGGGACGGGAGGCACTCACCAGCCCACATGAACAGGACCACAACGATGATGAGCACCTCGCCGGTCCGCAGCTGTTGGCTGCTCCCCATCTCCTTCATGGTCACCTCATCTGTGGGGAGAGAGAGACACTGGCCCGAGGCTCTTTTCGTCCCCAGCCCCTGTTCTAGGGCCGGGCCCAGGATCTTAAGCGCTTATCTCTATAGGTGCCTGGACACCTAACAGGAGATTCCAGAACATGCTAATGGCTACTTGCAGCGGCAGCAACAGGGCTTGACCAAAGCTGGGAGTTGATACCCCCACGGTAGGACACTAGGGTGACCTCCTCTCTCTCAGGTACTGCTTTAGTAGGCGCCAGGGGTCGGGGGTCGGGGGAGGTGGTGGAGGCTGCTGCTGTCCTCAAGCTGCCCACTGCTCTGCCCCTGACCACCCCTCATCCCAGCCAGCCCCCCCAGCAGGGCCGGGGCGTGCCTTTGTTCTTGGATGCCATCTTCTCTGCCTCGCGTGGGGTCTTGAAGAGCACGGGCTCGCTGGCCGGACTCTGGCCCTGAATGGAGATGGCCTGCACGTGCACAATGTACTCCGTGTCCTCCTCCAGGTCCCAGAGGGCGCATGAGCGGGTGGTGGTGTTCACTTCCTGAATGAAGCGTAGCATCCGCACGTCCTTCTTCTGCCAAGGCAAGTGCCAGGCCCGCTGTCGGTGGCGCCCGGCCACCAACCCCACTGGGCCCCCCTCCTGGCGGCGCCCAGGGCTCAGCTGACTACGGAGCTAAAGCCTTCCACACACAGGCTTCCTCACACCCCTCGTCTCTGTAGGTGGCTAGGACCACTGCTAGATCCGTTTGACAGAGAGGGAGACAGTGCGGGTGCAGAAAACTTAGAAAAGCTGCCTAAGGCCGTCTCTCCAGTGAGAACTTGCACTGGGTCCCACACTTAGGTCTGTGTGAGATCAAAACCGGACTTTTGGTGCCCAGTTTCCAGTCAAAGTCCCCAGAGCCTGCCTCACCAATCCATTTCCTGCTGGGGTCCCCATTCCAAGCCACATGTGCAATTCTTCTGCCTGTCTTCTCTTGCTCCTTTATTTCTTTTTCCTTTCCATTTCTGCACACCCGCCTCCCCATCCCCTGCTACTGTCTGGATGTGTCCTTCCCTCCCAGTCCCTCAAGGGTTACCTGCTGAGAGATGGCAAATCCAATGACGACCTCATCCTCCAGGACGTCCCAGCTCACCACTGCGGAGTTGGCCTTGAGGTGCCTGACAGTGACATTCACGGGGGCCGAGGGGCTGTCTGGGGGTGGGAAGGCACCTGAGCCTGAGTACCTCCTGCTGGAAGGCCCAGGCCCACGGTCTCCTAAGTGGGGACCTGGGGAAGGCCACAGAGTGGCAGAGGTTGGCACACGGGTCTCAGTTCATTAGTGCTTGAACAGTGAGGCCCAAGAGGCCCCAGGCTCCTCGTATCCAGGGTGGGAGCCTCCACTGGTCTCACTGGCCCTATCAGGGGTCCAAGCGAAACCTGAGAGGCCTGGGCTGGGGCCAGATCTAATGGAAGGGTGGGAAGGGGTGGGGCAGGCACGGGGTCGTGGGGGGGGGGCATAGGTGGCCAAGGTTGCAGGTGCTGAAAGTCAGCCTGATGAAAAGCAGTCAAAAGGACTCCCAGTCTAGTGCTCTGTATACAATACCACACTGTCAGGTGAGTGACCTTGAGGGAAGGAGAAAGACCCAGAGGTCAAGAAGAGCCAGGCTAGGGTGAGCGCTGGGTTCGGAGTGAGGATCAAGAGAAGAATCCTTGGTATCCCAGTGAGGCAGACAGAATGCAGCCTGGGGAGGGGTCTACGTGAGATGCTTCTCCACACTCTGCCAGCCCCGAGAGGCAGGTGAGGAGGTGATAGGGGAAGATGGGGTCACCCAGAGTAGGCTCTCCCAGGGGAGAGGCAGGGGTACAGGGTAGGTAGGTCTTGACTTGGGAAGAGGATGAAAAGAGTCAGTCAAGAAAGGAGTAGGAGGGAGAGTGACAGGGACGGTGGAGGTCAGGGTAGGAAGAACCTCTCCTAGAGTCACACAGTGTGCATGTAAGCCTCCCAACAGACGAGCGGTCAGGGGAAGACCTAGCCCTGACCTAGCCCTGAGCAGCACCCTTTGGCCCACACAGGAGTGGACCTGAGGCCCCAGGGGCTGGGCCCGGGACGACAAAGCCATCTGTGGAGACAGAGACAGAGGGACACAGACAGGTGGCGGCAGACACAGAACCAGAAAACAGACAAGTGGGCTATCAGAGACAGACGTAGAGAGGAAGCAGAGAGAAAGAGAGAAAGCACTGAGCCACAGAGAGATGGGTAGAGGGAGCGATGAGAGAGGCGCCAGAAGCTAAAGGGACAGATACAGAGCCTCAGGAGAGGCTTGGCTGGGTGAGGATGAGTCCCGCGCTCCGGGCAGGCCTGACCCTGACTGCAGCAGGCTCAGGGGTCCACCCCACCCACCCCAGTCCTAGGGTGCCAGTCCCCATCCCCCTCACACTTGCTCATGCAAACCAGGACCCCATCCTGCTCTGACCCGCAGAGTTGTCCTGCAGGGCTTTGAGGACAGGGAGGGAGGCCCAAGGTGGGGGGACTGGTGTCCTCAGCTGCTCCCCAGGCCAGAGAAGGGAGTTCAGCTCAGTCACCTGAGGAAAAGGCCTGCGGTCAGGGCCAGGGGATGACGGGACTAGGGATCGCAAGACCCTGGACCCCAAGGCTGGGGCGGCCGGCCGGGGGTCGGGAGCTGGAGGACAAGCCTGGGAGTCAAGAGGTGGGGGAGAGGCCGGGGCCGGGTTGGGGGGCGGGGAGCAGGAAGGGGCCCGAGGACTCCCGCCCGCCCGCCCGCCCGCCTGCCCCGCGCCGAGCCCCCCCACCCGGGCCCCCTTACCCGCCTGCACCAGCGCGAGGCAGACGCAGCCCAGCCACAGGCGGAGAGCGGCGCGGGGCGGCCCGGGGCGCATGGCGTCTCCTCCGGCCGGCCGGCCCGGGGCGGCGCAGGGGGACGCGGCTCCCGCGCCCGGCTGCCGCTGGCGCTGGCGCTCCCGCCCGCTGCCCGCCCGGCCCGGCCGCCCCGCGCCGCCCCGCGCCGCCTGCATGTCGGCTCCGCGGACAGCGACTCCCGCGCGGCGGCGGCGGCGGAGGTGGCGGCAGCGGCCGCGTCCACGTCGGGCGCCCGGAGGGCGGGGCGCCCCCGCTGCGGGGAGAGGCGCGGGGCGGGGTGAGGGCGGAGGGCGCCCCCCACGCCCGCCCCCTCCCGGCCCGCCGGCCGCCCCTGTACCCCCCCCAGCCCAGTCCCCGACCCGGCCCCAGCCCTGCCCTTCCCCTGGGAGAGGGAGGACGCGCGCCCCCAGACACGTATCAGTGTCCCCCGGTCCCCACCGCCCTCCCTTGGCCTGGGGGTCCCCACCCCCTACCCCACCCCACACCCGAGGCCTTTCCGGGCCCGGGACAGACTTGAGCAGAGGGGAGTGTCACAGCGGGGGATGGGAGCGAGACTGGAGTGCCGAGTAAGTGCAGGGGTGTATACAGTAAGTGCGGCCGGGAGGACGGTGCTCAGACTCACTGGAGACCTAGCTCTGTGACCCCGGCCGGTCCTTCCCCTTCCTTGGGCCTCCATTTTTATCTCCATGAGAATAACAACCCGCACCCACTAGGTGCCAAACGTTGTGCCAAGAGCTTGACTTGCATCGTGCCGCTTCTCCCCGTACCGCTTAGAAGGTGCTTTGTGACCCCCGTTTCGCACAAGAGACTGCAGCTCGGAGAGGTCACTTGACTTGCCCAAGGACCCACAGCAGAGCCAGGATTTGAACACAGGCTGATCTGACTCCCACGCGTGTGCTTGACTCCATTGTCTCCCCACCCAGAGTGAACTCACCCACCCCACCATGCCTGAGATCCTAGAACTTGCCTGTGCCAGTTGTTCCCCAGCCAGAGAACAATCTGGAACAATCTCTTCCCAAGAGGGGTGAGGGAAGAGTGGCTCGGCCCCCTCCCTCACCCTTCTGGCCCCCCTGAGTGCCGCGAGCTGGGGATGAGCTAACGAGATTCTAGGGGGCTTTGGAAACTGGGCAAGTCACCACAGCCAATAAAGGGTGGGGACCGTTCCTTCCTCACCACCTTGGGGTGAGGAAGCCATATGCCTACTGGGGCCACCATATGCCTACTGCTGTCCCTACCTCGGTCTCACACACTCTTCTGCTCCACCCACCCGTTTTCTGTTCTTGAAGAGGCACAGAGCTGCCCTTTCCCTGCACCTGCCACCCTCTCCCTAACGAGGGGACCTCTGCAACAGCGGGTGGCCAAAGGCAGCCCCCCCCACCTTGTGGCACTCCACCCTGAGTCCCAGTCAGAGAAACGAGGATGCCTTGCCCAGGGAGGCACAGACCAAGGCCCCAGGGCCCCCGGCAAGGAGAGGCCCCCACGTCTCCAAATAAGCCCCTCCCCCCAATCTGAAATTCCATCACTAGGGGGCATTCCTTTGGGTCTTTAAGGGCCTTTTGGTCTTCCAGAAGCTCCTGGAAGGGCTAATCCTTTTTGAAAAGGGACAACTTTGCAAAGCTATCCCACAGAATGTCTTCCAGATCTCCCTCGCACACATTTGAGATTGATAAACTGAGGTCCAGAGATGGAAAGAACTCCCCGAAATTCACACAGGGGTTCAGGAAGCAGCCGTGGAGCCCTCCTCTCCCAATGCCCACTCCAGGACTCCCTGCATTGACCTCCCCCCCAAGTTTCTATGGGTCACCTTGGAAAGGGTAGGATGGGAGGGGGCTCTGGGGTTCTTACTGAGAGCCCTTCGTACGGCCAGGCCTGCTCTGTTCGGCGGGCTGAAACCCCCAGCCCCATCGGCTTCCCCAGCCACATACCTTGTGCTGGGGTGAGGCTCATTTGGGACCACCACCTCTTTGGGGCCGGAGCCAAGGAACCAAAGCACTTCTCTCTCCTGTCTCTCTCTTCACCCGGCAGCTGCCTTCAGCCCCACCCCGCCCGGCCCCGCCCCACCAGCTGCAGCTTGGCCCTTAGGGACCCCCCCCCCCCAACCCCAGCAGGCAGGAAAAGACATCCCGGGGCCTGCAGGAGCAGCTGGAGCCTCCTCAGGCCTCATCGCAGGAGCCAGCAGGCAGGAGAGGGGTCAGTTAGAGGTCACAGAGTCTACTCCTGTCCCCGCTAGGGAGAAAAAGAGAGAAGGGAGAGGGTCCTGGTGGGGTCTGGAGGCCAGTCTAGCGCGGGGGAAGGAGGCGCCATCTGCTGGCCTCTCCAGGTATAATCCCGGGTAGATGTAGGGCACTGGGGGTGGGGTGATGGCGGCGTCTAAGGCTTTGAGAGGGAGGGGGAAAGTGATTGGAGGAGGGCATGAAAGACAAGGAGGATTCGGAGAGTCGTGCCTGTGGGGGTGCAGCCTTCCCGGGCCCCAGGATGCACGGGGTGCTTGGGCATGACCACAATTCTGGGGAAAGCCTTTGATGCCTGCAGTCTGGCAATCAGTGGAAGCTGGTTAGGAGGCCGTTAGAGTTGGGAGGATTTGGAGCCCCTGGTGATCTCCAGAGGACTTCAGGACCCGTTGCTGTGTGGGCACCATTTGTACACCAGCTCTTAGCACAAGGCTACAAGCAGTAGGCACTCAATAAATGTGTGTTGAATATATGGAATAAATTTGCTCTTCCAACATATATCTATTGAGCACCTATTATGTACCCGGCTCCGTGCAACATTCTGGAAATACGGCAGCGGGAGAATGAATAAATGCGTGAGTGAGGATCTAGGTGGGGATTGAGCGATGGACCTCTGTCCTCCCAGGCTGCACTGGTTTCTCTTTGGATGACTCCACAGACATCTAGGGGGCTGGCTGGAGTGCCCAGACCTACCCAGAGTCCCAGTACCTTACTCAGGCTGCAGGCGCCCAGGCCGGACCCCAGGCAACCATTTAGAATGGGAAGGGCTCCCCTTCCTAGCCGATCCTCGTGGCCCTGTCTAAGGAATTCCCTAGATACACGCACCCCCAGTCACAGGAAGAATGAGAAGGGCAGGAGAATGCTTTGGGAATATAAATAATCAAGCACCTACCAAGAACTTGACTTTTTGTCCCTGTTATTCGGAGTCTTAGGCTGGCACATGTTATTAGCTCCCGTTCCAGATCAGGAAGCTGAGACTCAGAGACGTGTGAGAACTTGCCCTGGATCACACAGCTAGTGAATTACGGCGTTTAACCCAGGCTGCCTGCCTACCTCCTCCCCTCACCTCTGGGGGGTTCCTTCAGGCGGGGATCCTGGCCCAAGATTCACTAAAAAACATGCATTTTCCTTTCTTGTAGGGCATGTGGGGGCTTGCGGTTTACAGAGGCAGAGACTAAGACCAGCCCAAGACTACACCACTACTCCTCATCAAATGTTCTCCATGTGCTGGCACATTACATACTTGAGAGAAGCGGCTGAGGAGTCAGGATTGTTATACCCATTTTATAGATGAGGAAACTGAGGCTCCAAGTGAGAAAGTGGCTTGCCCTGGGAGACACTGGTCTGACCTGTCCAATCTCCGAAGTCTCCATCATGGCACTGATGACACCAGCCCAGCTCAATATTTCCTGAGTGTCTGGGCCAGGCCAGCCTGGGCCTGGGTACTGAAGACATAGTGATGAACCAAATCTGTCCCAGCTCCTGAAGAGTTCTCATGGTAGAAAAGAGAGATATGTTTAAAACAGAGAGAAACGACCCTCTGGACCAGGAGGTACCAAGGATCCAAAGAGGTCAGAAGGGAGCATTAATTTTAAAAGGAAAGCTGGGAGGCCTTCTGGGAGGAGGTGATGCCTGAGCTTAACTAGTACTGAGAGTCAGGTGGGAATTAGTCATATGAGGGAAAAGGGACAGAGGTAAAAAGGAATCTTTGGCAGGAGGGGGGCTAGGAAGGGGAGACAGAGGAGGATGGGGGGGTGCTACAAGCTCTGGGCTGTGATGATGGGAGCAGGAAAAACAGCCCTGGATTTGAAAGGCTGTTCCAGGCTGCAAGAGAAGTTGGGCTACGGAGGGCTTTATTCATGCCACAAGTCCTGGGGACATAGCCCCAACCAAGCTGATGAAATTCCTGCCCTCATGGATTTCACATTCCAGTGGGAGAGGCAGGTGATAAACAGTGAGCTAATGACTAAGTAAAATCCCTTCCAGGACTCCCAGGGGCTATGAAAAAGCTGGAGTGCTGCGTCGGGAATGGCTGGGTGGGGTGACGTGAGCTGGTGTGCTGTCAGGGTCCAGTCGAGGCTTTCTGATTGGGCAGAAGAGACCTCCTTGCATCTCTTCAGTTTTTCAGAATCTACAAAGGAACCGACTTCCATTGGACAGCACCCAGAGAGGTTAAGAATCCTGCCCAACCTCACAAAATTGATCAATGATCGCTCCATGCCTCAAATTGCCTCAAACCCCGGGGCCCATTTTACTCTTGTAGACAGATTCTCAGCTACAAACTAGGGTTCCCCGAGATCCTTCAAGAGCAATGGGGCCAGAGGACCTGGTTATAGGCCTAGATGTGGAGGGGGCTGCAGCAGGAAGTGAAGGCAGCTGGAGTAAAACCTCCTTCCTACCAGGGAGGGGCGGAAGGACAAGAGCCTGGGAATCAGATGGCCCTTAGACTCCAACCTCAGCTCAACCTTGACCAGCTGGGTGACGTCAGGTACCACCATCTGAAGTCAGGGGCCAGCTTTGCGCAGTGGCAGTATCCAGTATCGTAGCCAATGAGGTTTATTCGAGGCGCGATTATTGCTAATTGAAGTCAGGGGCCAAGGCTGGATGGCCTGCCCACCTCTCACATCCCAGGTGCTAGAGGGCCTCCCTTGGCCTCAAAGGAACATGGTTCTGCAGAGCCAGGAAGGGCCAGCAGAGGGCGCCCCCGTGGCCATAGTGAAGCCAAAGTTGCCCAGAATAGGAAAGGCTCCAGGAATGCCGGGCCTTGACTGGGGGGCAGGGGGTAAGGGGGTTGTGGGGGAGGGGGTGGTCGCTGGTCCAGGAGGCCAGCTGCCA